GAATGGCAATATTTGCAGTACTTATTTTAACTCTCCTATACTTGATCCAGTATCTCAACATGTTGAGGAACATAAAACTCTTGTACCCCTTGAGTGCAAAGCCTCCTCCCCAAAACATCCGGCTCCGGTACAGAAACAGATATGCAGCCCCGTGCTGGTGCTCTCTCCAGCCATGACGACTGCGGGGTACACAGGCTCACAGGCCACCCAGCCCTGTCTCTGCATACAACTGCTGGCAAAGACTGCTGGGCGCCAGGCGCTTGCGCATCAACATGGAATCCACATTCCAGCAAAAGGCAGGGGAAGCGCAGGGCATCTGAAGGGGCAGGGGCCTGAGGAAGAGGTACATCGCAAAGCACAAAACCAGTGTGGACTGGATCAGGGCATGTACGCCAAGCTCTGCCCGCTCCCGTTTTAGCTTTGCCTTTTCTCTGCAACCTTTCTTCTTCCAAATTCAACCCTACCTGGATTTTTGAAACTGCTCCTTCTGGCCCTTTTCAGGCTGGTTGCTAAGCTTGTCACCAGCATATTATACGTGGAAGTTGTTATTACTGCTGTTGTGTTTGTTTCTCACTTGGTTTTGTTATATTCAGCCACTACTATTTTCAAACTGCAGTTTGACTCTATCAGTCCCACCCTTTCTGGGCCAATGGCACATCTGAAATTTGAAAGTAGATTTTGTTCCTCTGAGGAGCCCAGACAGGTGTACAAAATCATCATCATCATCATCATCATCTCCAGGAAAGCAATTCAGTAAATAGCAAAATGTCTACCTGTCTGATGACTGACCCACATTTTTTAATTAACATCTAGAAGAGAGGCTGCTTAGACAAGCTAGCTCTTCCTATTTACTCTTGTGAGCTGTGAGATAAGAAACTTCCAGCTTAAAAATGTTTTTAAAATGTGGTACTTGTAAAATCAGTTATCTAGACAAATGCTTACTATTTATGTATTCTTTGGAGTCTGTGATTTCTGATTGTCTATACAGTATGAACAAGAATGGAAACATAACTAGCCCTTCAAGATGCAACAGAATAACAAAAACATATAATCTACACCAACAGAATATATGATATGGCTATTCATTTTTATTTACAAAAAATATACAAAGGTTAAAAGTAGTTACATGGTATAGTGAATACTTCTTAATTTTCTACATAGTGTTATAAATCACAGTTTAGTAAAAGTTCACATAAAAATCACTAGATCAGCAAAGGAAAGTTGATAATTAGCAGCTCACGGTTATTGTTCCTGGATTCATACTTTCCAGCCTACAGATTTACAGTATCAACATGGGGAAGTTTTCAGTCCAGCTCCAGACTGTGCAAACTCTTCTCCACCTGCTGGCCTCATGTCAGTAGGATTCTGAAGTTTGAAGATGAGGCCCGTTACTGCAGAATTTTTTCCATATGGGCAGAAGGCCAGCTCTGCCTAAATAGCTTTCCAAGGACTCAGGTCTTTGCATTACAAGCTGTAGCACAATGCTCTCACAAGGGCACTGGGTTAGGGAGAGGACCATGGAGCCTCCTTTATCAAAAGGTCAGGTTGCATCTTTGGCAAGGAAGTGAGGGAGTAATCCTCCCTCTCTCCTCTTCACTTGTTCATTCTTCATGCTTCTGATTCAGCCCACCTGCACCACTCCTTCACTAGGGTAACCATATATTGGATGATGTGGAAAACTACTGTCACTATTTTCAGACAATTCCCAGGGACTGATTCCACAGGGGGGGAAAAGTCTTTTTAGAGGGAACCTTAGAAGAGCAAGTCCAAGTGCTGGGATCTCGGTAGTTGACTGGGCAGGTGTTCCAATGCCAATGTAGTTTTCTGGAGTTTGAAAAATACTGAAACTCTCAGGACAGCTGCTCAGAGGAAAGGCTCTTAACTGATCATAAATGCACTTTTCTTCTAAGGTGCTTGAGGAACAGGGTTAGAATTACCTCCCATGCTTAGGGGAGCTAACTAGGATGGGGGGTTAAATCAGGCTCAGGGAACACTTGTCCAGACTAGCCAGATTTAGAATGAGAAAAAGAAATGTTCCGTAGCACCCTTTCCCAGCTCAAAAACATAGCAGTTCGGGTTGATGCCCAAGGTAAAGCTAGTATCAGAAAATCCACTCGGCCCTGAACATAACAGCCCTCTACCATAGAAGTGGCTTCTAATGTAATGAGCAAAGAAATGCTTAAAATAGCTTTCCCTGGACGACTGCCAAGAAAGTACAAACTTCCAAGAAGACACCAGAGGCTCAAAGGCAGCGCCCATCCCCCTCCCGAAAAGCAAGGTGCGGCTAATGGGAAGCGTAGAGACCAGGGCCTGCACTCTGGGGACGGATCGCCTTCCAAAATGCAACCCTCAGACATGGCAGCTGTGAGAAATGTTCAGAAAAGAAAAACCCACCCACCCTTGTTTAAAGCCCGGATCGTTCTAGGGAATATGGAGGAAAACTTCAACATTCAATTCCAATAGGGGAACCAGTTAGCCAGCGGGTGCTGAGCGTCTTTCCCTGCATGTGTTTAAGCGGACAGCCATCTGTGGGAGATGCTTTATTTTGGATAGCCAAAATAACCTCTTCCTTCTCGGTGACCCTATGGCAGCACCTGCAATACAGAGAGAGAGAAGTTGCAGGACTTCTCAGCACTCTCCAAAAGCAATTACTAGAAACGTTATGGCGGCTTTGAGTTCAGCTGGAACTACAATAGCTGCTAGTATCCCCATTTCAGCTGACAAGGGAACCCTGAAGAGCAAGAGCCACCCTACCTGGGAAACTAGAAGAAGACCAAAAGGCTTGCCAAGGCACTTGAACCCATATATAAATAGGCAGCAAACCCCACATTCCCTTGCACTGATCATGTTACCTAGTTGAGTAATGAAATGTCTGCAAGCAAACAACCAAGCTGAGAGAGCACCGAGGACTCCACACTTGAACCCAGCTCGAGGGGACCTTGGTCTCAGTTAGAATTCAATGCACTTATTCTGCTCCAAATCAAGGCACGGTTTAGAATAATAAAGTTGGGCACAAATTATAGCTAAATTATAGCCCTTAATTCTGGAGACTCATACAGCTCCCACCCTAATGACACTCAGAAAATTATTAAAAACGTGGTTGTTCTTCCAGGCCTTGGCACAGGATGGTTGTGAAGTCCTTATATGTTTGGCTTTTTAGTGGTTCTTTGAATTGGTTTTCCAGTCGGCTATGATCTCTCTATATGTATCATTTTCTTTTTTTATATATGTAAGCTGCCCAGAATCATTAAGGAGTTGGAGCGACCTCAAGGTTGAAAAACACAAATAAATAGCACAGAAGTAAACAGACTTAAGTGGAAAATGGAAAACCCTAAGGTGTTATTTCCAGATTGAACCCAAACTGCAAGGAGACGTCCAGGCAATGGTTTCTAATGCAGCACCAAGATATTCCTCTAAGACAGATGTCCTTTCTAAGGCAAAGGGTAAAACAAAAGGTAAAACTGATTTCTTTTGCTCCAAAATGTCTCCTAGATTCTTTCCTACAAGTCAGGAAAAACTAAATCTCTTGTCTTTTGTTTTGCCTGCTCCCCTTTAACTGAGGCTATCACATGTTCTGCTGGCAGAACAATTAATACCTAAGCGGACGGGGAGAGGCAACCTACCAAGCTCTTAGGCCTCTCTTAGGCCTCTCTTAATGTATCTGCAGCTGCTAAGTGGTACAGATTAAGACAAAAGGGTCAGTTTCCCTGCTGCGAGAGAACCAGTTTTCAGCATGAACACCCAAGGCCTAGCCCCAAAAGAGGGGCCCTGAATAAAGTACACACCCCCTTTGTGAAAATGATGCCTATAAACATTTTTTAAACACAGGTGGGTCTCTCTCTCTCCAATCACGGACAAGTCAGAAGGAACATGTTTGGTGGTGATGCCCACCTTTCCACATGCACATTTGTGTTTCTTTTTTCCTTCTTCTTCTTTGATCCCCATGTTAGGTTTTATTTTGGAGACTCTGAACAAAGACTTGGCAGAAGTCAGAATTTTGACAGCCAATATGTACATACAAAACAAGGAGAGCTGGACAACCAGATGGCCCAATGGAACTCCAGAAGCATGAACATCTAGCCTGTCCCTTCCTCAGCACCAATGTGACAGCAGACTGCCTCTGCACACAGCAGCTCCACTAAGCCAACAGCCAACATCTCTACCAGCCATGTGTTTATCAAATTTTTTAGTCATCCAAGAAAGACACAATGGATAGCAATTTTTTTAACCTTGCTAGATTGTCCATTATTGTACCCAGTATTAATCTAGCTCAAACACCATCCTTTTCCAAAAACGCTTCAAGCCAAAAAATCTCATTATCTATACTCAAAAAAATGCTTCTTTAGCTACATGAGAAAAAAACCTCCTGGAACATGCACACAGCCAAGGATGATTATGATCTTTTCCACCTCCCAAAATGCACACCATAGAATCTGAGGCCTGCTGCAGGAAAAAGGTGGGCCCACCCCCTTCCCACTCAAAGGTAGATTTTCCCATATGAGCATCGTAAGAGTCACAAAGCCACCACTACAAGCAACATAGAGCGAAGACCCAGGAGATGCTTAGGCACTCATAGAACAAGGTGAGGGTTATGTAACCCAGCAGGGAAAACTCCTCTGGTTAGCTTGGGAAAGATATACCCAGTTCGCCTCTAGAAAGACAAGCCTTGGAAACAGGCCGGGCAGCACCAGTTCATTAAGCTGCACCCTCACTCACACTACAAGCCACGTATTTTTTACTAGTAGTAGGAGTTGTTGTTATACTCCTAACCTATGCAATTATTAAGTACTCTGGGCAGAAGATGCATTTGCTTAAAACATTAAACAGTTCTAAAACCATTTTAAAAGAAAAACAGTAACATGCTATTCATGAACCACACAGAACATAAAAAGCACCATTCGCACATAGGTCTGCATGCCATCCTCCGGCAGCACAGAGGCCCCTGGATCCTCATCCACAGAGTGCATGCCCCCCCCCCCGACTCAGCAGTAAGCAGAAACCTTGGGCGAGAAGCCATGGCTCACAGCACACCAGACAGCCTTGTGCACAGGGCCTGTCCTCACATGCACCAAAATCATGGCCCGATGTTCTGTCTTGCTCCCACGGCACGGCCTTCTTCTCACTCCAGTCCACGACCGAGACAGGCTTCGAGCTTCATTCGCTGGGTCTCTGCTATTTCATCTGAGGAAGAAGAAGGGGCCGTGGGGTACAGGCTCTCCCGAGTCCTGCCGCAATAAGGCTCGACTGGCGGAGGGATTCCCCGCTAGCCGGAGAGCAGCGCGGCGGCAAAGCTGGAAGAGGAACCCATGCCTTGCAGCCACGGCCGGCGCGCTCGGCAACCACACCGCACGGGAGAGGCAAGGGAGGGGTCGTGATCGGCAGCGGGGATGGCCCTCCCTCACTCTGCTGACGCCGGGGAGAGCATTTCGCCTCCCTCCGCAGCCACCGAGAATCACCTCAGCCGCTTTCAAAGTCCAGCCGCCGGGACGAAGGATAGACCACCTCTGACGAGTTAAGGCTACAAACTGACCAGAAAGCGCCGCCCCCCCGCTCACCGGCGAGCAAGACCGGCGATCTGGACACGGCTGCAGACCGGAGTACGGGTCCCACAGGCGTACCCCGGCGTGCTCCCACCGCTCTGCCAACCAGGGCTGGGCCGAAGACAGCACATAAGCCTCGCTTCGCCGGGCCCGAGAAGAAAGCAGGCCCCCAGGGCAGCGCGCTTCCCCGCGTACAGAAAGGGAAGTCCGCCGGCGGCAAAAGCTGCCCGGCGGAGAGGCCTCCGCCCCGCCACCTCAAGCCCTGCAGAAGGGCGGGCGGGCTTTCCAGGTGAGGCCAAAAGGGCTGGAGACCAGACGCGACCGACACCGGCCGGCTTCAATCCCCGCGCGAGGCCCGGCCCCGGAGCCCGAGTTCTCCGCCTCTCGCCCAGGGGCTGCCCTGCCCTTGGTGAGGCCCCGTCGTTCTCCGGCTCGGCCCGAGGTGGCCTCGGCGCCACAGGGGACGCAAGCCCTCGCCACTCCCCACTAGGGGTTCCCCGTCGCCAGGTGGGCACCTCGGAGCAACGTTCCAGAACGGCCAGCAGAGGCCCCACCTGAGCTGCCGGCCAGAGCATCCATCCCGGAGGAGGCCTGGCACGAGGTGGAAATAGGCCGGTTCCGCCAGCAGCAAAAGCGCGCGCGCGCGCACACACACACCCCAGCCAAGGCAAGCGTGGAATAGCATCAGCGCCGCTCCCCGCGTGCCCCGCTTCACAGACAACGGGGCCCGGTGGAAGAGCACCGCGGCTGCACAGGCGGAAAACAGAGGCGTCTGCGGCTCACCCCGAAGCCCCGCTACAGCTTTCCC